TATTAATAATTCTTGGGCCTAACTAATGTAGGCATTTTGTTGTAAATTATGTTTAAAATAATTGATTTCAGAATTTCTTAAATTAAGGTATAATAATAATAATAATAATAATAATAATAATAATAATAATAATTATTATTATTATTATTATTATTATTATTATTATTATTATTATTATTATTATTATTATTATTATTATTACCATAAAAATGGTTCACATAATAATTAAATAAAAAATTTCAATACAATAATATCGTTATTATAGAGAGATTTTAACATTGAGATGTAACATCGGTCATATGTAATAATAAAAAAGTCCTCATGGGAATATATGTTTTAAAATTCTTATCCCAAGGCTGAATCCCCAACCCTAAGGGCCCCATACTCTGACCCGACAGAGCATGTGGGAGGATGTAAATCACAGTGACTCAATGAGTTAGTAGGCAGGGCGTGCGCACAAGAAATCTACCCACTTTGAATATAATTCCCACACTGCTGCCGCCGAGATTTGAACTTTGATCTCTTATCCCAAATACTACTCACTAAACCATTGAGCTAAACCCGTGCGGGTATATTTTAGAATTCTGAAAGGCCTGGAGAGACTTTAGCAAAAACCACTACTTCTTATCTCAGTCTGAAGTCTGAACTACAGTGTTAAGCATGGTGGCCTATTGGGTATGAATGGCCCAGGTTTGAGCAATGAAAAACATCATTAAAAGTTGGGCTTTGGAATTGAATAGGATGAACCAAACTAAACTCCTTAGCTAAAATTCCAACCGTTCCAATAACCTAAGCTTTTAGTTGCAGACCCAATGGATCCAAGTTGGGCTTTTTAGATTCTAGCCTACCTCAATTGTATTCAATAGTTATGCTGTGCAACCGAATGCGCCATGCATGGTACATACGATGCAAAATGATGTCGTTTTGATTAAAAATGTGTATCCCACTTAAAAAATAAAATTCAAGTTCGATTCTCGGTAATAACATTATTGTGGATATATAGTTATGAGTTTCTGGATATATAGTTATGAATTTATGGATATTTAGTTCATTCATTGTGGATATTTAGTTCATTCATTGTAGATATTTACTTCATTCATTCACTGTGGATATATAGTTATGAATTTATGGATATATAGTTATGAATTTCTGGATATATAGTTATGAATTTATGGATATTTAGTTCATTCATTGTGGATATTTAGTTCAATCATTGTGGATATTTAGTTCATTCATTGTGGATATTTAGTTCATTCATTGTGGATTTTTACTTCATCCATTCACTGTGGATATATAGTTATGAATTTATGAATCTATAGTTATGAATTTATGGTATATAGTTATGAATGTATGCATATATAAAAATGCTATTGCCGGGAATCGAACCTGATTTTTTTTTAAGTGGGACGCACGTTTTTTTAACCAAAACGACGTCGTTTTTGCATCCGTATGCACCATGCATGATGCATACGAATGCACAGCATAATTTGCGAATTGTATTGGGAAATTATATCATGCACCAAGGCACACAATGCATTGTGCGTTCTGGTCCAAAAACAACGTTGCTTTGTATCTTTTTGTTTTTTTTTTTTTGGAAATTTCATTTCCCCTGTCTGTTGTTAAATTTTTTTTTTTTTTAAAGTTCATGTTTCGAATGTACATAATTGTATAATAGAATGTACATAAACCCCTAACATAATACACATAATCTAACATAATACATAATACAAATAAACTCTTAACATAATACACATAAACTCTTAACTGTTAAAAAAAAATCTCATGTTTCAAATGTATATAATTGTATAATAGAATGTACATAATTGTATAATAGAATATGCATAAATTCCGTCGCGTCAACTCCCCAACTACTTAACAAAATGACGTTGTTTTGGGCAGGGCGAGGTGTACAATGCATTGTGCGTCCTGGTGCACAATATAACGATTGAATTGTAGAGAAGTAGAAATGGGGTAACCAATGTTTATTAGGTTTACCATGTCCACACAGTTGCATAGGGTGCATTATTTGTATACGTAAGCTAAAATAGTATGAAAACTGCTTGAGGGTTCATTATTTATATGCATAATGTTCAATATTTATATGCATAGGGTTTATCATTTGAGCATATACAAATTGATTGAATGTTAATTATTTAGACATGTATATTCTAGGTTCATTTAGGCTATACATATATAAGGTTCATTATTTGTAGAGCATACTTGGACTTGTTCATCACACTTCACCCCTTTACTTATAAATCTAATATTGAATAAAATATTGGGAGAAGAATATTGAATAAATCTAAGTTCACTATTTGTATGCATAAGGTTTACTGTTTATATATAGAGAGTTTACTATTTATATATATATAAAGGGTTTACTATTTGTGTAGATGTGTTTGATGCATGGTCCACAATAAAATTTGCTGATGGTAACAAAGCTATCTGCTCATTTAAAATTATTTGAATCTAAACTCAAGTTTGAGTGTATACTGTCTAATGAAACTGTAGTTACATCGAAATGATATTGTAGTTGTGTTGTAATGAAACTATAGTGTATATAAAATGAAACTATAGTGTTATATACTGAATGTTCGCAATTTGAATTGTGAAAATTCAGTATGTAAATTGTGAACATTTCGTATGTAAATTGTGAACATTCAGTATATAAATTGTAAACATACAGTATATAAATTGTGAACATTCAATATGTAAATTGTGAACAGTTAGTATATAAAATTGTAAACATTCAGTATGTAAATTATGAGCATTCAGTATATAAATTGTGTATTTTTAAACTCGGGTCCACAGAATAATTTGCAGTGCCATCCCCCAATCAACTTGATTAAAAAGTTGACTTAATAATCACAAGTTTTCAAGTCTCACTCTTGTGGGAATTGTCTATTCACTTTCTTGATTTGAACTGGCCGTTAATGTATTTTTAACCCTGCAATTACACAATTCTAGTAGTTTTAGTCTTTAATCTTTCAATCGTCGTAGAATACACTCTTTACCTTTGCAAAAAAATAAATAAAAGTTATGATTTGTCTTTGGAGCAACAAAATTGTGAACTTCCATATATATATATTAAAAATACATCCATATGTGAATTTTTACACCCAAAAAAAAAAAAAAAAAAAAAAAAAAAAAACTTTCTAATTAGTTACAAAATGTGAGCCAAATCGCAATCGAAGTTCATGATTTCACTTCTTGAGTGACAGAAATTCTGAAATTGGAAAAAAAAAATTTTTGAATAGTACTGATTCTATTAGATTGTAATATTTGTTCAAACATGCTTTCTCAAGCTAATGAAAGTTGAAGCTGTTAAAGCTCGATCTCATGATTGACCACGTGAGAACTACATGCCATCTAGCACAAAGTGCTTGGTTAGTAAATTTTTTAAAAAGAATTAGAAGTGTATTTTACTGCAGTTAAAGAACAGAAACAAAAATGACTATAATAATTACATAATAAAGATACTAAAAATACATTTTTCCCACTAAAATATCAGCAAGCTAGGGATATATAGGAGTCAAATTTTATCCATTTTATTCGGTGACATCATAATTATTCTTCCAAAATGTTGAACCCTCCACACCCTAACAAAGTATTTGGGAAGCTGTAAATGAGTAACTCAAATGAACATAAACCACAGAGGCTAGTCCTTCACTTTGAGAGGTTGCTCCCACACTGCCACTGGTGAGACTCGATCCCTGATCATTCTTCCAAACTTTCACCTCTATGACTAATTGAGCTGCCCATGCGGGTATGACATCATAATTATTATTCATGTAATGATTAAAAACTATGTATGATTATCTGAAAAAGAAAATACATATGTACCTCCAACTTTTACTCTCACGCACAAAAATTTTGATATAAATGACTTACATGAAAAAATAATTTATTAATATTCGTCACATTAAAAATCAGAGTAAAATTTAAGGAGTAAGATTTGAAAGTCTATGTAGTAGAACGCATTTGAAAAAGAGGGGAAGAAAACACAGAATGACACATGGGGTCAAACATGTGTGTACAGGCAGTGCATGCAGCCTTTATTGAAAAAAAAGTAGCTCCCCATCTAACCAGTTGCCCCACATATGGTTGTTGGACTACCAACCTTAGCTTTATTGTATGGATTATACTTTGTATTGTCACATTTTTCATCCCAAAAGTCCCCACATCTGCCCTCACTACATGCAAGCTAACCCTCATTTCCTCTTTGGTGGCTCTAAATGTCAATCATGCAGATACTTCTTGGATCTCATTCAGACTTTCAATTATTTTCACAATACAAAGTACCCAAAGTTTAATATAAATTATATATCTAATAACAACCAAAAAAAAAAAAAGTCGGTTCAAGCGAAAAAAGGACTTGACCCACTTTAAGTATAAGATAAAGACGTTGATTCAAGTTAAAAGTACTTAAAGTCACATGTAATTTCGAGACTCGTCTGTATGTAATAACAATGTCCTTAAAAGAATTATAGTGTATATATGTTTCGCTAAGATGAACTGAGACAGTATAAGATAAAGACGTTGGTGCAAGTGAAAAGTACTTAAGTCACATGGAGTTTGAGACTAGTATGTACACAACAATGCCCTTAATAATTAAAAACAATTGTATTGTACATTCCACAGAGATGAGAATGTGTATAAGAGAAAAATGTTTGTTCAAGTGAAAAATATTTAAAGTCACATGCAGTTTGAGACTATTCTGTATACAACTATACCCTTAATAAAAAAGAACTGTATTGTACGTTCTACTGAGATAAGAATGTAAAAAATAAAGATGTTGGTTCAAGTCAAAAGTACTTAAAGTCACATGCAGTTCGAGATTAGTCTATATACAACAATGCCCTTAATTAAAAAGAAATGTATTGTACATTCCACTAAAATGGAATTGTATAAGATAAAGATGTTGGTTCAAGTAAAAAGTACTTAAAAGTCACGTACAATTCGAGACTCTCAGTATGCAACAATGCCCTAAAAAGAGTAGTACTGGATTAGTCATTTGGCATGAAAGTGATAACAGGTAGAGAATCTAGTATAGTGAATGTGCACTAAGGCAACCAGTGTGTACAATATTACATTTCCACATCAAAAGTACTAGATTTGCTAGTAGTGAAAACAATAATACTTGACTACTCTAATTACCTAGTAGACATTTGTTTGTCTATTCCTTAATTGGGCACAAAATCATAAGATGTCTTGATGATAACTACAGATGAGATGAAAAGTTGGTGCACAGTAGTTGCAGGGGGCATGCATGCATTTCTTGAAATTAGGCAAGATAATATGGGCAAAGAAATGCTAAGGCTAACAAATAACACAAGTTTTAATAATCAAGAGATCCAACAGATGCCATGCCACTAATCATCTTCCTCGACTCCGGTGGGCTTCCAAAGTCGTTGCAACTCCCGTTAGACATCTGAGACATGGGAATCGAGCTTAGAAGCTCTAGACCGCGCTTTCCCATCTGCTGCACCTCTTGAGGCGAGAGTATCTTAATACACCATACGCTATTCACAAACTCCCTGCAATAGTAGTAGTAAGATGAACATTAACCAATGGTGTGGTCGATCGAGGATATATATATAAACCCCGAGTTTCATAGAGAGTGTTAAGCATAGAATTCGTTCTCTTCAAACAGTGGAAGTGGAGAGTATATATGAGAACTTACGGCCAGGGGTCATCGCCAAGAAGAAGAACATCATTCTCTCGGTCAACGAATACAAGCTGCCAGCCTGATCTCAACGGGTCCTCCAGTAAGCCTTCGAGGCCGAACATCTGAGCAAGTTCACTGCGCAGCTCATGGTAACTGCTAAACTTGGTTATGTCCAGTGACCTTCCCAAGGACCCCGACTTGTAAACCTGATCACGAAAGGTAAACAGTTATATGATCCGATGAAATTACACGTACTGAAGAGTCCCACATTGATAAAATAAGACCATAAACAAGATTAAAAATTTACCTTAACAAAGGTTTTGTTGGGTGGGTTTTCTGGCCCCAAATTCTCGGAATTTTGCATGACACTTGATTCCTCGACGCAAACTGGAGGTGTCATTCCTGGATTTAGGGGGAAATCATTGCCCGAATTACTCATATAGCTGGAAGAGACAAAGGGTACTGTTGTTGAGTCGCAAACACTGCCTACTCCCTTGAGGGAGGACATCCCGTTCTGCATCAGAAGAGATGAGGAATCTATATTAACCCCGAACAGGAGGTGATTTTGGGGATCATTGCTCCCTTCCTGGTCCTCGGAGCACACCCTACTCCCCGGGAACGGTGGTAAAGAAACAGCATTCTGGGATATATTCATGTTCGGTGCTCCCAGCTGATCCACCTGAGATGAAATACATTGTGAAGGAAGAACGGGATCGACTGCAATCCTCTTTGCTGGCCAGCCAGTGGGGGACATCAAGTTACTGGATCTCGATGCATTTAGAATATGCGACGTTTCATATGGGGGCACTGAACCGAGCAGACACTGCAGCGGATTAACCACGGGGTTGACAGTCGAGTCAGAAAAGGTTTGCGGTTGCATAGAACAGATTGTTTGTAGCGATGGCGGTTGAGATTGCGAGCTCGAAGAAGCCAATTGGGACATGACAGATCCTACACTCGAAACCTGCTGATCAATACACTGTGCTTGCTGTTGCGAAGAAGCTTGCTGGGGTCGTTGTTGCTGCTGAATACTATTGAACGAATTTTGATGTTGCAATTGTTGCTGAAGAAGCGGCTGGGATATGGGTGGTAGGGGCTGGGTTTCGTGGAGATTGGAAAGAAAGGTAGGTTGATGGGGTTGAGACTGTTGCAGTATCTGAGGCTGCTGCATTAGGCCAGTGGGAGACCGGTGGGGAACCCCGTTTGCTTGCTGGAATTGCAAGAACGAGGAGAGGTTTTGCTTGGAAGGATCGACTACCCGCATCTCTTGAAGAGCAGCCGTGGCCATGGCGTGATAGACGTCGTTTTGCATGCCTAGCATTGGAAGACTTGGCTGCATCCAAGGCGTAACGCCACCGATTCCTTGAAAATTGAGTGACTGAATTCCTCGGTCTCCAGCATCGCGGAGCCACAAAAGGGGAGAATTCATCATCATATCTTCATCCTTCATCCCTAAATTACAACAACACACTCATTAATCAAAAGCTATTATTGCTCATTTATTCCAACTTAAGGTAATAAAGTCGCGCCTTTGCTACTAGCTATAGCTTTTGGCGTAACTGGTAAGCGTTTGATCCTAACAAATGGTATTAGAGCCAGGTCACGGGGTGCTGGGAGGGGGGAAATTGTTGGACGGGGCCAGAAAAGGCCAAGTCTAGCACCCGGTGGCTGGAGGATTGTTGGCGGAGGCCAAGCCCTCGATCCTAACACATTTTTAGTTATTTGTGTGTTAGGGGTGGTATGTAGCAGTGGCAAATACCATTGAAGCTCGGGAGTCCTGGTGGCCATGGTCGCTTGAGTCGGAGAAACGGTGATGGATACATTGGGAATGTTATTAAAGGTTCAATTTCCCAGAGGGATACTCTTGGTTGCCTATCACCCGCAGTCGATTCATCCCAGCCAACCTGCATAAAGACGAACACTGCCTTCAGGGTCTCAACACATTGAGCAACATATATTCAATATGCCAAGAAGCCCGAAAACTTACCTTGACAGAGCGCCAATGTGAGTTTGGCCAACGAGCAGGTTCCAAATCACTGATGCCAGTTATCGTGCCCATATAGCTGAAATGCAATATAATAAGTAACAGATAACTGACTCGAAAACCTGTCTGCCCTTTAGAACTTTGCAAAGGAGCATATTATATTCAAGAAAGGAAAGGGAAACCTAAATATTCATCACAAGACAAAACAAACAGTATAGCTCTATTTACCGGCGAACACTAGACTCTTCAGTCTCGAATAGCATCCTGAAGCGCATACCAACAGAAATCCGGGTATGATATACAGCCTTAACATATTTAGCGAGAGGCACGACGAATTCAGAGGGGCTAGCCCTACAATGTGAATTACATCATTTAGTTATAGCCAATCTACTACAAAGTATAATATAAAGTGTACATAATGTTACAGATCGAAGAACACACCTTGGATTGAAAAAAATGGTGAAACGGCTGTTAGTTGCCGCTGCATGAGCAGCAGCCGCAAGAAGACCAAGATGCATACTGTCACTTGATATGACAGACGATGGCATGATGGTTTGTGGACGATTGGCACGCCGAATACCAAGAAGCAATTGGTTCTTCTCATTCCTAATATATTAGAAACACAATCAGAATCTGTGGGGTAGCCCTAGCCGAAATGGCTAAGAATACAAACTTGTAACTACAAGGCCATGAGTTCAAATCTTAGCCTTCTTGGTTTGAGCCGGTCGGCTATAGGCAGGCTGGTTTACCTCCTTTTGTTCCTTTGCCAGCTAGGGTTAAAAGACGGGGTTTACCCAGTGCACACGCTCGGGTAATTGCTGCAGGTTTCCCTCGTCACCCCGAAAGGTCGATTTGTATTTTAGGAATGAGAGAAACAAATGGAATAGATAACAATACAAAACAACCGAACAATTACCAGATAAAAATGACTGAATCACCAGCAACAAGTCGTTTAGCACTCACAAACACACTCCAACCTGTTGTAAGAAGATGCCTTTTTGGCTGGCCTGGCACGTAACAAAGCCAAGAATTGCAGAGTTGAGAAAAACGCTACAACTATATTTCATATTTTCATTCAGTCAATTTTTTTCTCGGTGAACTAAACACGAGTCGTAAGCTTCATTTCACCACATACAAAGTCAAACCTATAAATATGGTACCTATAGAATTTGCATAATTATGTTGTGGGAGAAGTATAGCTACTTGACAGTGTTCAAGGACTCACCGCGGAAAATATGTCTGAATTTCCATTCGTTTTCATGGAGGTCCCTTGCAATCAACTCTTGAGCTGGAGGCTGCTGAGAGTAGTCCTGTGAATTGAAAACGAAAAAACGAGGATTGATTACACGAAGTTGAAAGACAAAGTAGACGGTTTTATGTGGTAATTATAAGAAGATCTGATTACCAATTGAGGAAACACTTTCTCTGCTGCACGGCGAGGAACTGAAAATCCACCGTGAGTACTTGTATCACTCGCAGTTAGTGTTTTGCAGAAGTAATTTGTTGGCTGTTTGCTCGGGGTACCCAAGTCCATTGGAAGAAAAGACGCCTCCTTTTGCTCTTGCTGCGGGAAGAGCTTATAAATTAGGAAACGGGAAGACCCGACAGATCAAAACTTCACTAATGCAGAGGAAACTAACCGGGCTTAGAGGTTGCAAGGTCATTTGAGCATAAACTTCGTCCGTCTCCAAATCAGCCTAAAGAGAACAAATTTTAGAAACTTGGGTAACAAAGATGAGATTAGGGAAGCGAATTAAAGGCCACATACATGCATTGTTACATTGTGTAGCTGACAGATAAGTTGGGGAGGTAAGCTCGGGTAATTAGGAATATGAGCGTCAACTTCCCTGTTCGTTGAAGCAGCAACCTACACACAATAATATATCCAAAAGCATCAAGAGAAATCCAACCAAGTTGCTATAAGCCACAAACAAAGACTATATATCTCCTTAAGCTAGAGATATTGATTTCCCAAAGTAATCAAAGCTGTTATAGAAATGAAAACTAGAAGATCATCCCCGCCAGTAAAGGCCAAATCTAGCACCTGGTGGCTGGGGATTGTTGGGCGGAGGCCAGTAAAGGGCTTAAAAGGCCAAGTCCAGCACCCAGCATCTCGAAAATGTGATGGCGGTCTAATAAGGAAATAAAGTTGAGCCCTCGCTACTAGCTATAGCTTTTGGCATAGTGGTAAGCGTTTGATCCTAACACATCCCGATTCTAAGCTAATCTAAGCTTGGCAAGAAATTGTGATAAGCTAGGAGGGAGAGAAAGAAAATAACCTGCTCACTATGGCCTTGGGGGAAATACACCACTCTGCTGCCCACAGCAGGTAGGGAAACAAGAGGACCAGCACAGGCATGCCAAAGTTCTGAATTTAGGCATTTTTTCTCCCCTGCAATTCCACCCACCATCATTCTTCAACAAACAAATTGCTACTTTATCCATTTAATCAGAATATAAATATATACATATTGTAGACACAAAATTGTTTAGAATAGCAGCTAGTACACTAAAAAGAATGAGTTTTTTTTTTTACCTTCAGGAGGGGACTGCTGATTGAAACCAGGAGAAGAAAGCTTCATTTCTGTAGATTCAAAGATAGAACACCAATCCCACTCACAAATGATATCTTAAACTCCCCCCTTTCGTTCCAAATTATGCCCCCTCCCAACCCAATGCAAGAAAAACACTGCACCCCATCAGTAAAAATGGTTCATAGTTAGAGAATGAACAGAATTTTCCCTTTCTTAAAACCCTTCAACCAAAGCCTGTTCCTCTACAGAACACAAATGGTACTATCAGCTTCATCAGCTCCTCTCACCTTTGATTCACCCTCTACCCCAGAAAACAAAACAAAAAAAACACCAATTTCTAATTCATAAACCCAAGCCACCCTTAGTCCGTTAGCTTCCACATTATTTCAGCTTAAACCCAACATAAAATGCTGAATTTTTCTGCCTCAATTCAAGCTAAACTTATTGGAAAAGAATTCCCAGTCTGCACTGTTCTTCAGATCTCAGCTTCAAGAAACCAAAAGCCTCCAGGCATGGAATTAAACAAAAGATCAAACTTTTACAGCTCCCAATCACCAGAAGCTAAGGAAGAAGCTAGCTCAGTTTCAAGTTTCAACACCAAAAAGAGAGAACCCAGAATTTTGTTTGATGGACTTGATTCAAATGATCTCCAACTTCTAGTTCAGAGTGACATACTTACATAAGCAACCTGCAATATTATATCCCAGTATTTCCCCTCTCTCTCTCTCTCTCTCACTATTTGTATTTATTTATGTATATATATATGCATGTGGTAGTACAGAAATTATAGCTATGGGTGGAAACCTTGAGTTCTGCTAAAAGGTGACAGAACAAGAAATGGTGGTGGAATGAGAGTGGCAGACCTCACTACTTGAGATGAGATGAGATGGCTCTGCTCTTCACCTAGTAGCAGCCTATGCTCATGCTTCCTTGCCTTTTCATTATAAATCATTTTCTCTCTCTACTCTCTCTCTCTCTCTCTCTCTTCATTTCTGAAGTCCCATCAGTGCACGAAAACCGCCATTATTTCTCAGTATAGTACAATGGTTAGGAAAAGAATTTTTTTTTTTTTTAAATAATAATAATTTTACCCTTTTTTTTTCTTTCTCTTCTATGATTTGAGATTTCTTTTTTTTTTTTTTTTTTGAGTCTTCATATGGTAAACTGTGAATATTTACTGAGTAACAAAAATCAGAATGACAGATTTGGCCTCTGACATTGAGGAAACTGCGACTCTGCCCTTTTCCTTTTTCCGTGCAACTTCAACTGCCAATCAACCCACCAGCGCTTTTTCTTATTAATTTCTTTTTAATGTTACAAAATAATTTTTTTTTTGAAATAATTTTTTTAAGATACTGAATTTTATTTTATTTTTTTAACTATAGATGTACTATTCTTTGTTTCAATTTCCAAATGAAATATTGTCATAATCTTGTCCATATTTTGGTTGGAATTAAATCGTGGTAATTAATGAATGTTTAATCACCAAAACTTATATGAGGATGTATGGAGATGGGATTGATTTCAAATATTTAATTTTTTTTAAATAAAAATGTAATTTTTTATGGAATTACATTTTCATTGAGTAGTATGAACTCAAAAAACATGTAATTAGGTGTCCTAAACTAACCAATTTAATGCAATTAGTCTAATTTACAAGTTTTTCAAATTTCTAACAAGTCATTTTAAATTTAAAATAATTATTTAAAATTAAATTAAAAAAAAAAATGCCGCGCCGGAGACGAGGAAGTTTCTTCGTCTCTAGCCGGAGACGATATCTTCGTCTTCGGCCATGGAGACGAAGAAACCTTCTTCATATTCGGCACGGTGACCTTTTTTTTTAAATTTAATTTTAAATAATTATTTTTAAAAATATTTTAAATTTGGGTTGACCTCTTAGACACTTGAAAAACCTCCCAATTGAACTAATGACATGAGATTGGTTAGTTTAGAGACCCAATTGTATGTTTTTTCGATGGCGTATTTGACCCTTATTCCATATATATATATATATATATATATATATATATATATATATATATATATATATATATATATATATATATATATGCTCAACAATAGTGAAAAAAAAATCTTGAGTATCAATCAGCTTATAATTTTAGATGAGAGGACAATTCAACCAATATTCAAAAAGAAAAAAAGGAAAAAAAAAAAAAAAACTTGGTTATAATTTTATTGCTTAGACCTACGGAAAAATATCATACTACTACACTGAAAAGCTCATAGTGTTTAGAATATATATAATAATCCGATCGAAATAGTGTTGTAAGATGTGATTGAATACGTTAACTGCAGATATAACATCGTATTTAATTTGTTTTGTTGTTGTTAATGAAACACATACACTACGTTAGATACATATATGCATGATTAAGAGGGTGTAGGAGGGAGTAATCCAATAATCCAAGTAGAGCCTCATTATCATCATCAAGGAGCTGAGCCTAGCTAGAAGATGAGATAACAGTGAAGTCACTGTCAGGGAATGTTGAAAGAGAAAACCTCATAAGAGAACAAAGCAGTCATCATCCCCAGCTAGCTACCGCAATCACCCTGTTTCTTCTTCATTAATACATGGAAGAAAGAGGCCGTGGGAAGGGCGGCGTTCTTTGAAGCTAGCAAGGCGCCTTACCTTTTGGGTGGAGGTCGGTGAAAAGTCAAGTTCATAATTGGTGGACGGGAGATTGTTGGGTGGAAGCCCGATGAAAAGTCAAGTTTAATATCATATCGTACCTTTCTGAAATGTAGCCATATATAAAGATGTTGGGAGGATCGGAGGTAATGAAAGCCCGTGAAGAGTCAAGTTCAACACCCAACTACCAGCTATATAGCTTTTGGCGTAGTGATAAGCGCCTGATTAGAAAACGAGCCAGGTCACTGGTAACCCGTCCCAACAAGAGCAGTTAAGATTGTCATGTCAAGAGTCTTACCTTGCCTCTCAAAAATGTAGTGATTGTATAGAAGAAAATAAAATTACATTTCAATGTATGCTATAACTTTTGACTTAGTGATAAGCAATGGATCATAATAAAATAAATAATAATAAAATTGTGATTTTGTTATTAATTATATTTTTTGGTATAGTAAGCCTTTGATCTTAACCATAGCTAAAATGTATTAGGGTGAGAGACGCAATTTTGAGCTGAGGATGCTTACAAAAACGTGTTAACGTCAGATTTGATGTTTCATCTTTCTCCTATTTCTTCTTTTCACATCAACATCCAACTTGACGCCTCGATGGGGTGTATGCAATTAATTACATATAATTTGTTGTTGTCCATCTTCATCAAGCCGGGTTAAATTTTATTTTATTTTTAAAATATCTTCAATAGTTATGAATTTTAAGGAGTTTTTACAAAGGTGAATAAGAGAAAAAAAAATATGGGAGATAAAAAGAAAAGAAAAAAAGTGCAAATGAAATAACATGCCCAAAGCTTTTGGTGTGCATAACGCCCACCAAGAAGTAGTTTCACTGATTTGGTGGGATCCACACGTCTGACAAAACTCAAAATCTTCATGCAAAGACCTAATCCTTTTGGATCTATAGAAATGTATTACGATTTATCTAAATAGCAATACATATTACACATGAAATAATCCCACACAAGATCTACTCTTGCCCTATTTATTTTGACATAAATTTACAAGATAGTGATAAATTACTATGTTATTTACTTTAAATCTCTATTTTTGATCTATTTTTCAATTTAGAAAATGTGTTTACTAATACCTATTTCTTCAAATTTTTTATTTTCTTTTTTTTTTTCTTCAAAAAAAATGAAAAAAAAAAAAATTCTTTCCTTAGTAAATGTATAAACGGTAAGGCAAAAACATGTTTGAGACCGTCTCACAGATCCTTGTCTGTGAGACAGGTCAGGTCAATATGAAATGTAATACTTATACTAGCAAATGTAATACTTCCTTCGTCGTCTCATTTTATGTGTCGGGTTCGTTAACAAGGCTTGACTGAAGTTATTTACAATTTAACTTTTCATAATATTAAGTTTAAAATTATTATGTAAAATTTATATATTTAGAAACTACAATAAATGTATTATTGAACACGAAAAAATTAAATTTTAAAATTATAAAACAATTCTAATAAAAATAAGTAAAGAATAAATAGTTGATTTAATTTGACCAATAAGTAAGACACAGATAAAATGGGACATATGAAATACTAAATCATGAATAAAATGTAAATTACTTATGAGGGGAACTATAATACTTTTGATGAAAAAATTAAAGTAATACTTTTACATCAAAATGTAAAAATATTATATTTGTCCTCAAAAGTATTACGTTTCCCATAAAACTTATAAACATTTTACTCATGATTTAGTATTACATTTGCATATTGACACAATCCGATCCGACCCGTCTCATGGAGCTGAGTAGGATCCGTGAGACAGTCTCATACACGTGTGACCCAAACCGTAATTGGCTTTTCAAATTTTAAGAAGGGTAATTGGAAAATAGAATTACTTATAGTGATAATTGTCACAAGAAAATAAATGGTTGATACATAACATTGTGAAAAATGAGTTGTATTAGAAAGAAAGAAAATAAATACTTAATTCATAACATTATACAAATTCGATTGAAATTGTGTTGAATTAAACTCATGACTTTTATGTAAGAGAATTATGTTTCGTTCGTATCAAGCGCTCAACTTTTTTTTTTTGAATGCTACTGACTCTATTACATTGTAGTATCTGTTCAAACATACTTTCTCAACCTAATGAAGCACACAGAGTCAACAATGCCTCCACTGAAACTCGATCTCATAACCTCCCACATAGGAGAGGTCACTACATGTCATCTGAGTACAAGATATTGGACTTAGCTTTTCATCAATCTCTGTCTAAAAATTCGATCTCTTAGTCACCAATTACTGGACTTGGCCCATTATCAACCTCCGTCAAACATGTTTCAACCATACGATCACCTCTTATGGCAGGCAAAAAAAAAATGGTAATAAGTTGATGAGTAGGGTACGTAGGTTGGTGAAAGAAATTAAGATTGAAAAGCTAAGATATATGGAAGTAGGGAAGTTGAGAGATGGTTGTGTTCGTTCATGCACTCAATTCATATTCTGACCAAACAAAAAAGTGTCATAATCATCGAAGTTGTCGGCCGGGAAGACATGAAATATGTGGTCCTCACATTACTTCACTTCTTTTCTTAATTTCCTCCTAGTATAGGCTTCGTCGGATCATCTTATCTCATCTGTTATATGCCCACAAAAATGCACTGTTCATCTAAATCACGGTGTCTAAACGGCTCAGCAGATAAGATCAAATAAATATCGTTGTGCAAAAAAAATCTATTCATTTTATTAAAATTCAAATCTTGATATCTTCTTCTAAATATTGTCTATTAAACCAATAAATTAAACTCGTACAAACTGCACTGCCCTTCCCTGCATCTATAATTAGCAGCTAGCTAGCATGCGCCAATAAATTATTCATTACAAATTTTTTTTTTTTTTATTATTGAAAATTAGTCCGACAAAACCTTGCCAGTACGGAATCGTACGTCTCTCCAACATATTGGACACTGCAGAATTTTCATTAAAAAAAAAAAAAACTTTACACCCAGCATGTAATTAATATTATTATTAGTTATAGACCATGCATGTGTAATGCCGTGTTTTTTTTTTTTTTTTTTTTTTTTTTTTTTTTTTTTTTTTTTTTTGTGTGAGTGTGTTAAAATTGTGAATAACTACACAGGCAATAATGTTCACAGTAAATGAGAGATTGGGTTGGTAAAATTTTAATGAGGCTTTCGTTGTCGTAATTTTTTTTTTTTTTTTTTTAAGAATAACTGGATAGGTTTTTTTTTTTTTTTTTTTTTTTTTTTTTTTTGGTACTACTTAATTATCTATTCATAACTATTTTCTCAACCTACTGAAGCACAAAGTATTGAAGGAGAAGCCACAACAGTTAAGTGAAGGGCAAATAAGTCAATGAGTGTCACTATTAGTTGTAACCGTATTTGGCGCCTTTCCTTCCTTGTATAAACTTCCTAATCTCCCTCCTTGATGAATTAATGAAACAGTTTTCCTTTCCAGCAACTCTTACCTTTCTCCTCTCTGCATTCCTCCTTCTTTTCCGATATGGTATCAGAGCCACAGCAAGGTAGCTATGCCGCCGCGGTCTCCGGCTCCGGTGAATCTAGCCAAGGAACTCATCCGGCATCGCCGGTTAATCAATCTCCAGTGCAAATTCCGATCGCATTCGGCCAGCAGAGAAATCACATTCCGCAGAGGAACAATGGTGGTGAAGACATCGAAAATCCTCTTTACTTGAATATCAATGAAAACGCAAACGCAATCCTGGTTAGTCCGCCGCTCTCAGGCAGTGGAAATTATGGCTCATGGAGCATCTCCATGCAGATAGCCCTAGAAGTCAAAAATAAATGGTTTATGGAAGCCTAGCAGCACTAAAGAGGGATCATGCACAGTATGCGGCATGGAGGAGGTGCAATTTGATTGTCCGTTCATGGACTCTCAAGTCGATGGTCCCCTTAATAGCACAGAGTGTGATGTACATGGCTAATGCCAAGGATGTTTGAAACGATATGAGAAGATGATTCTCCCAGCGTGATTCGCATCGGATCTCCTTATAACACCCCACATTTCTTAAACTTAATTACAGTTCTAAAACCAAAATCAAGATAAACTAAGCAGTGGATAAACAAACTAAAATAACCAACTAGTGGGAATGTCACCGGCACAATCACCTCTCCACGGTGATTGCACAGGCTAAGGATGAAACTAAATCATTAAAACAAACTAACATATGTAGCATAGGTCAGTTGGGGAAAAACACCCCGATGTCTATCATCAAACATAGGTAGCATAAGTCTACAATCCTTCATCATAACATCATGAAAATAAAAAGAGTTTAGACTACTAAATCTACTAAGCTAGTCTAACTCGATCAACTCCCAAAGTCCATAAATATCTCCCGAGAGGATCATAGTCCAAATAGTATCCTCCAAAACCTCTCCGATATAGATAATACATAAATATATCTCTCATGCATCAATCTCATGCATGCAACAATCTATTATCTCTCAATGCATCAAAGGATGTCATACCACATGCTTATGGTTTTTGAAAGTATTCTTGGACTCATGTTGGTCCTTTATGCATTTTTGAAATATGCATCATATGAAATGTCAAAATGCTCTATATCATGCTTCTAAATCATGTATACACTAACATGAAGTATTCAAAAAATATATCAACATGTTCGGTTTGCAAAATGGCAATTTCTATACATTTCACTCAACAAGTATGCTTCTATTCTCATTGATCAAATAATACAATTTAATCATGCTTTCATAATAAATAATATTCTCAAAGGATCATGCTTCTTTACTCAATAAAAACATTATTTGATCACATAATCAATAATTTCTCAAACACAGAGAATTTAGCTAAATATGCACTGTGTAACATTTCTTCACAAAATCCTTCATAACATACTTATTTTTAATCCAAATTCAACGAAATCAAAGCCCACACGTGCGTCAAGACGATCCCGAAGAGCCGAGCCACAAGGGCTCGTAACACTCAGTCCGAAACGACACGTAGCTGAGCCACAAGGGCCCGACCACTACACAAAAATCTCCTCAGTACAAAACTCAGGGACCTGGGGCGGGACTCTTCATGGTCCGCCCCTAGAGCCCCGTTAAGGAGCCGGGACTAGGCGACGACCCTCTTCTAGGGCCGTGCCCTAGTCCCGTGGTGGCACGGCTTTAGCCGGCGGCCTTTCTGATAGGCCGCGGCTAGGGCCGCCACTCTGGTCTGGTGCACACTGTGTTGTGCCCCAGATAGCATTTCTCCTGCAAAAACTTCTTCAAACATGTCCAAAACAATCTCAACAACCCATAAACACATAC